CAAAAAAAAAAAAAAAAAAAAAAAATCTAAAGTTCAGTGAATTAAAATGGGCATTGGTTTCTCTTAAGGGGACACCGCAGGGCTGGGGATTCAGCTCAGTGGTTCCACTGTCTGCCTGGCAAACACAAGGTCCTGAGTTCAATCCCCAGTACCAAAAAAAAAAAAAAAAAGAAACCACAAAGGCAGATGGGGGTGGAGAGAAAAATCTCTTGGTCTTTTAGTCTTTTCTGAACTGGTTTGACTAGTTTGAATCAAACCAAGCAATATGATTTTCAGATCTTCTACCACTTGTAATCTTTCCAAGCAGATAAACCAGTAGAACCTTCTAAGTGGCTGGATGCAGTTACAAGAGAGTTACAGTTGTCCTTTGAAGGAGCATTCAGGCTCTATAAAAACATAATTCATAAGCAATATTGTAGGTAAATACATATTATAAAAAATAGTGGCCTTTTACTTAGACTCTAGTGACTATGAGTTTCTATTTTTTCTTCCTCATATTCCAAAAATAAAAAACCAGTACTAAAGTCATTAAGTGTATTTATAACTTAATAAGATACTAGTTACTCCCCAGAGTATCCTAGTCTGCTTAACAATAACAGCTAACCTTGGTGAATGGAAGCAGTAGGCTGCCTCTAGAACCACTCCTTTCTTGTTAATTTGGGGTCAACAGTGCTGTGATAAAATCTCACTTATTAGGGTTCCCTGAAAAGATCCTCAACTGCGTGGCTCTCCAGTCATGATGGGCAGATGCCAGATCTATAACCACTGCTGGAGTTCCTGTAGGATCTGGCTTGGCTAGAAATTGTAGGCTTTAAAATAATGGCAAAGTGACTTTGAGCCAACCTAGAAAGCGTTAATTTTTGCCTCATACCTGTATCGCATCATAATGTGCAGCATCTTTTCTCTGAAGAATACAAGATAATTTTGGGGGTTTGTTTGTTTTTTGTGATACTGGGGATTGGACTCAGGACCTTTGTCCTGAGCTGCATCCCTGGCTCACCCCTCTTCCCGCTGCCCCTTTGCCCCTTTTCCCTTTTTTTTTTTTTTTTTTTGAGACAAAGTCTTGCTAAGTTGTTACATTGCCTGGGCTCAAACTTGCAATCCTCCTGCCTTGGAATTTCTTTAAACTTCAGTTTTATGTATTTGTTGGGTTCTGAACACCCACCGAACCCACTGAATGCCACACCTACTAGAAGAGTTGTAGTTGAGTAAAATTGGCTCTGTTGCATGCTTGACGTGTGTTAAGTACTTACCATGAATTAAGTCACTTTTATCAGAATTTCTTGCGGGTCATGTAGCAGGAAAGGATGACAACTTCATATTGGTAGGGAGATTTTTTTTTCCCCTCCCTGGGGAAAACCCCTTCTGGGGTCAGCCAGGTTGTCTGTATCTGGGGTAAGATTTACAGGTGCTCTGCACATGCGAACACTGCCCAGCTTGACACCGGGCAGTTCAGCTTTTGCTGGGTTGTCTTGGCACTTGTAGGTTGGTGACACCAAGTACTCCTTGGATTGTTGAACTCTGCTGTCTGAGGAGAGAGAAACTTCAAGCATCAGGATCTACTTGAACTCCTTGTTTAGGAAACTCATGTAGAAATTAACCCCAAGAATGGAGAACCTAGTGATTTTTCAGCCTAGTAGAAAAGTTCCAGCAAGCCCTACTCCAAGGCATGGGCAGGGAAAGAGAGGAGAACCACATCTCCTTTCAGCCAGAAGAGCTTGAGTTTCCCCAGACTGGGCCCCCGAAAAGCTCGACACTTACCGGGGCCTGCTGTGTTCCACAGTGTTCTAAAAACCTTCCATAGATTGAATCCTCACCCTCATACCAAACCTTTGAGGAAGGTGCCAGTGCAGGTGCTTTCGCTTAAAGCAGGACACTGACTTGGCAGAGACAGTTAAGAGACCAGCACCAGAGTGGCAGACCCTGATTCCATCCCAGGCAGTGCAAGTTCTGGGCTCCACTGAACTGCACGTGTTGTCATCCCTGACTGCCAGCTAAGGGCTCTGAATGTCCAGAGTAAACCTCAAGCTGCAGCCAGTGCCCCAGGAAGAAAAGAGTTCCAAAGGCCGGAGGCTTATCGGACAGTGGCCTGGTGTTTATCTCCAGGAGATTGTGTATCTTTGCTTATCTCTGGGTTGTGAGCGCGTCCGACCCTTTGCTGTTCCCAGCAGCTTCCCAGCTGCTCCCCCCAACAGCCTTCACTCACACACACACAGTCTCTTCCCCTTGACTTCTCCAAGGCTTCTAAACAGATCTGATCCTGTCACCTCCCAAGCGAGGGCCACCAGACATCTCAGCTTTGCAATCCAAGTCTGACATCAGCCCATTTGTCCTTAGTTGCTGCTTCCCTCTTGACACCTGGCTGCTCTTCTGCAGCTTTTCTAGTCGTTGCATAGATGACTCTTATCTGCTTTGAATACCAATCCTTCTCTTTTCCAGCCACCCCTCCTAAACTGTCCTAAAGGCTCCTTTCTATTTTTCCAAGCTCTGCAAAAATAGTTTCTGTGGCTGCTTCCCTGAGCACCATAGAAACTTCACACCACTTTTAGTTATCCCATTTTGTGTGTCATGTGTGTGGGTGTGGGTGTGGGTGTGACTGGCATTGAACCTAGGGCCTTTGCACTGAGCTATATCCCCAGCTGGTTTTGTTTTTGTTTTTGTTTTCCAAGACAGGGTCTCACTATATAATTCATATCAGCCTTGAACTCACCAGTGCAGGCTGGCCTCAAAGTGCTCCTTTTGCCTCAGCCTCTCAGATTATAGGCCTGTGCCACGACACCCAGCCCCTAGGCCTTTTATATATTTTATTTCAAACTGGGATTAAGTCACTAATTTAGTGATTTAACCCAGGCTGGGTTTGAATTTGTGATCTTCCTGCCTTGGCCTCCCAGAGTACTGGGATTACAAGCATAGGCCACCATACCCAGTTAGCATTTTATTTTAAACTTAGCTCTGTGGTGGCCCTTGTCACCCTTCAGCATCCCCCGGTATATTAGTTACTTTCTCGTCACCTAACAGCAGCAACTTTAAGGAGCAAAGGTTTATTTGGACTCAGTTTAGTCCACAGTCAGCCAGCTCCAAGGCAGAACAGCATGGCAGAGGGGCAGAGCGGAAGAAACACTGGTTACATCGTGGCAGCCGGGAAGTAGAGAGAGAAGGGAAGAGCTAGGAAGGCAGATACTCCTTCCCAGGTCATGGCCGCAGTGACCCACTTCTTGGACCAGATCCCACCTGCGGACAGCAAGTCAGCTAGCTATATGGTCCATGATCCAGTCCTCTTCCAAAAGCTCTGCATATGAGCACACGAGGGCTTTGAGGACCGTTCTCCACATAAACCGTAATGCACACCCATGTCCCCTGCTGGGTAGCAAGTTCACCAGAAACAAACTGTCGTAACCATCTCTGAGTGGCTGCCCCAGCACAATCCTGATGCACCAGTAGATTTTTTTTTTTTAAAAATGCATATGTATAATTGAGTCTTTGTCCACCAGATACTGCCATGCACTTAGAGACTGAGGTTATGGCTCAGTGGTAGAGCACATACGAGGATCAGGGTTCCATCCCTAGCACTGCAAAAACGAAAACTCTTCTTAGGAAGTATGGGTATCCAAAGATCTTACAGAGTTGCTGAGATTACCCATTAGCTGAGAATTTTGAGATAAGTTATGGGTTCTCTTTTCAACCCAAGTGAATCTGAGCAGGTACTAGGCTATAATGCTGGGCACTGGTTTGAAGTCAGGCAGCAGAGAGCAGTGGAATTTGTTAAAAGAATTTCTGGTAGTGAAAAGTCAATGAATATCAGCAGAATAACTCACAGCTGAAA